CCAGGACGAAAACCGACTTCTGCGCATGGGCCACAAAGTTTCAATCGCACTGTCTGTGCGCGCCCGCACGTGGTATTTTGTGGAAGAGCCACACTCAAGGGGACAAAGAGACGCATGTGGCTCACGAGCCACCGTTTGCCAACCACTGGGCTAGGGCAAGTGTTTTCTTATTTATAGCCATTAGAAACAAAATGGTGTAAAAGCTGTTTTGAGAACACTCATAGTATCAACCTTGAAAATTTTAATGTATATATTTTAAGGCCATAGAATAGAAATATGAGGATGCTTTCCTTCATGCAATTAATTTATCAGGGACTTTTGGTGGCAGTGAAATGATGAGGAGTTTACTCAGCTTTTTAGTTTTCAGAAACAATCTGAAAATTTAAGGATCAAAATATATTTTTAGCCTGGCCAGTGTGGGTCAGTGGTTGAGCGTGGACCCATGAACCAAGAGGTCACGATTCGATTCCTGGTCAGGGAACAGGCCCAGGTTGCCAGCTAGATCCCCTGTAGGGGGAGCCCATCAGTGATTCTCATCATTGATGTTTCTATCCCACTCCTCCTCTCCCTTCCTCACTCTGAAATCAATAAAAACATTTTTTAAAAACCCCAAAACTTCGACCTACTTAAAGGAAAATTCAAACATATCTTTGAATAAATGGATAAATAAGTAGTATTAGTTTAGAACAGCGGTTCTAAACCTGTGGGTTGCAACCCCTTTGGGGGTCGAACGACCCTTTCACAGGGGTCGCCTAAGACCATCGGAAAACACATATATAATTACATATTGTTTTTGTGATGAATCACTATCCTTTAATTATGTTCAATTTGTAACAATGAAAATACATCCTGCATATCAGATATTTACATTACGATTCATAACAGTAGCAAAATTACAGTTATGAAGTAGCAACGAAAATAGTTTTATGGTTGGGGGTCACCACAACATGAGGAACTGTATTAAGGGTCGCGGCATTAGGAAGGTTGAGAACCACTGGTTTAGAAGATGAGAGTGATGGAAGATAGCAGTTGAAATTTAGGACACTGGTATTTAAATAATCATTATATTTTCTTTTAGGAGCTTGAACGAGAAATCACATTCCAGGGTGACAGTGCCATTTATTACTCTTATTATAAAGATATGTTAAAGGCACCTTCATTTGAAAGAGGTATGATACGTACATTTATATTTTTAATAATAATATTTTTATTTTAAAATAAAACATTTTTTCCCAGCCAAATGGCTCAGTTGGTTGAGCATCATCGTCCTGACCAAAGGGTTGCCGGTTCAATTCCTGGTCAGGGCACATACCCAGGTTTTGGGTTTGGTCCCAAGTCGGGGCACGTACAGAAGGCAACCACTTGGTGTTATCTCTCATATCTCTCTCTCTCTCTCTTCCCTCTTCTTCTCTCTAAGCATGTCCTCAGGTAAAGTTAAATAAATAAATATAAAATAAAACATTGTTCTTCTGTATCGTAGCCTTTGATTGTAGAGATTTGTCTCAGAATATAGATATTGTTCTTCCTTATACTTAATAAAATAATTGGAAAAATGAGACACAGTATTATTTAGGGATTTTTCTTGATATTAACTTAAAATATTCAATGACTTCTGAATGACATGTTTAGTTATCATAAAAGCAGAATAAATAACCTAGAGAAAAATATTTCTGTCTTTAGGTGTTTATGAACTGACACATAATAACAAAACTGTATCTCTGAAGACTATAAATGCAGTGCAACAAATGTCTCTATATCCAGAACTTATAGCCAGTGTTTTATATCAAGCAACTGGTAGCAACGTATGTGTTTTTCTTTTTATTATAATATTTATTATCTCACATACTTATGAATCCTCAAAGTTACTTGATGTAATTCTATTATCTCCTTATCTCTCTATTTTTTTCAATTAGGAGATTATTGAGCCAGTATATTTCTATATTGGTATTGTTTTTGGATTGCAAGGAATATATGTTACTGCTTTATTTGTTACAAGTTGGCTTATGAGTGGAACCTGGCTAGCAGGAATGCTTACTGTTGCATGGTTCATTATTAACAGGTAAGAAAGGTGTTTTTAATTAAGTTTTACAACTTTCTGTGTCTGTGGTAGTCAGTTCTAAAAATGCTCTCCCCCTGACTCTCATGTTTTATATGGCACTGTTGACCTTAAGTAGGAAGATTACCCAGTGGGCCTGATCTAAAAGGGTGAGCCCCTAAAAGTGGAGAGCTTTTTCCAACTAGTGCAGAGATAGTTTGAAGCATGAGAAGGGTTTGCTGTTCTGTTGCTGGATTGAAGTGAGGAGGCAATGACTTTTCCCAATAACTATTGAGCTCATAAAAGGACTGCAAATACAGATGAGAACTGCAGCCCTAGCTGATGCTTTGATTTTAGCTTAGGGAGTCTCTGAGCAGAGAATCTAGCCAACTGCTGGATTTGTGACCTAATAAATCTGTGCTGTGTTGTTTTGTTTCTTTAAAGATTTTTTTTAAATGGATTTTTAGAGATTGAGGAAGGGAGAGGGAGAGAGAGATAGAAACATTGATATGAGAATGGAACATCGATCGGCTGCCTTTTGCATGACCCCTACTGGCTATTGGGCCCAAAACCTGTGCATGTGTCCTGACCTGGAATCAAACCAGCGACCTTTTGGTTTCGAGATATGTTTTAAGCCACTACATTTGTGGTCATTTGTCATGCAGCAATTGGAAAATAATATACCCACCTTGTATCTCTTTTTTCAGATATAATGACATTGGCATATATAGATATACCTCTTCTATTTAAGGTTGATGACATAAGCTTCATGAAAAGAAGAGGCATCAGATACATCACTATTAAGTTAACTACCACAGATAACTATTCAATATTAATCGATGGCAGTGCGCTTTGGTTTTTATTTTATTTTTTTATTGGTTTTAGAAAGAGGGAGAAACACTGATTTGTTGTTCTACTTATTTATGCATTCGTTGGTTGAGTAAAACTGAGATTGATTGCTAGTTTAGGGGATGACAGTCTGATCTCTCCATTGTTTTCCTCTTAAGACTAGAAAATAATCTGTGCATTGTTTTGGGGTACCAAATGAATTTCCTTTTCACCATTAACCATTTACTTAAGGGTTGTAGCTCCAGTTAGTAATCTTTGCCAAAATGAGTGATTTAATTCGGGTTATAAAATTATATTTTTCTATTTTCATTAGCTACATTCTTCATTATTCTTTTTATTTGTCTTGTTTTGTTAGTCCTCACCCGAGGATATTTTTCCATTGATTTTTAAGGAGATTGGAAGAGAGAGGGAAGGAGAAAGAAACATTGATGTGAGAGAAACACATCGATTGGTTGCCTCCTGTACGAGCCCGACCAGGGCCTAGGCCGGGGAGGAGCCTCCAACCAAGATACATGCCCTTGACTAGAATCAAACCCGGGACCCTTTGTTCTGCAAGCCGACGCTCTATCCACTGAGCCAAACCAGCTAGGGCATTTTCTTCATTCTCCAAAGGTAGAGTTTTTCTTTATTAGCCAGGGTTCTTTATCTATCTTTAAATTCACTTACTATTTGAAAGTCAGACAAATGGTTAACTTCACTTGACCAATTTCTACATGTGTTTGTAGCTATCTCCAATTGTGAAAAGAAACGTTTCTGCTGTTCTCCCTCTCTCTTTTTTTGGTTAATTCTCACCTGAGGATGTTTTCCAATGATTTTTAGAGAGAGTGGAAGGGAGGGGGAGAGTCAAAAAGAGAAAAACATCCATGTGAAAGAGACACATTGATTGGTTGCCTCCCGCAGGCTCCTGACTGGGGCCGGGGATGGAGCCTGCAACTGAGGGACATGCTCTTGATCAGAATCAAACCCAAGACCCTTCCGTCCGAGGGCTAATGCTCTAACCACAGAGCAAAACTGGCTAAGGCAGTATTCTCTTTTTAAATATCTTTCTCTACTTAGGAATTTTCATTGGCTCAATAGGACTAAATACATTACCATGATTGTTCTTTTAGTTGCTCAAATTGTCACAACTTTGGTCAATAGGAGTCTTTTCAGGCTGACTTCTGAGTTCTTTTGACACATCTTCATTAATCTTTGCAAGCTTTCTTGCTTTTTGACTAAACAAGCAGGCTGACCTTGTATATCCCCTGTGAAAGATTTGGAATTAGCTATTTCTCTAAGGATAGCTCTGTTTGCTTTTAGTATAGAACAGTACTAGAAAAAAAAAAGAAGAATAGTACTAGAGAATTTGGTGTGGATGCTAGGGGGATAAAATGATTTCTTGTTATGTCAGAAAGTACCTGTTAGAGAATATATAAATTTCTTGATGTTTTTTATTTATTTTAGAGAGAGAGGAAGGGAGAAGAATAGAGAGAGGGAAGGAGAAACATGTGAGAGAACATCGATTGGCTGCTTCCTGCATGCATTCCCACTGGGGATGGAGCCCACAACCTGGGCATGTGCCCTGACCAGGAATCAAACTTGCGACCTCTTGGTTCATGGGTCGATGCTCACCACTGAGCCATGCTGGCCAGGCGAGAATATTTTAAGTTGCCATGTACTTTTCTAAAATTCTGTTGCGATTCATTTTTAGAAATGTAATAGCCAACTCACAGAAAGACATTTCAGTACTCAAAGACTAAGTCTAGAAAGTCTTGCTTTTTAGAGTGAAATGGTTTTTATTACAAAATAAGCATTATTATTTTTTTTTATTTAAAAATTTTTTTAAAAAAAATATATTTTATTGATTTTTTACAGAGAGGAAGGGAGAGGGATAGAGAGTCAGAAACATCGATGAGAGAGAAACATTGATCGGCTGCCTCCTGTACACCCCCCACTGGGGATGTGCTTGCAACCAAGGTACATGCCCTTGACCGGAATCGAACCTGGGACCTTTCAGTTCGCAGGCTGACGCTCTATCCACTGAGCCAAACCAGTCAGAGCAATAAGCATTATTTTTAATGTAGACCTCCTAAAAAATTTTCTTGATTATGTAATTTATTAGTTATTGCTGTATTAACAAATCATCCCCAAACTTAACAGTTTAAAACAATGAACATTATCTTACACAATTTCTTCTTTTTTAAAAATATATATTTTTATTGATTTCAGAGAGGAAGGGAGAGGGAGAGAGAGATAGAAACATCAATGATGAGAGAGAATCATGGATCGGCTGCCTCCTATATACCCCCCACTAGGGATTGAGCCCACAACCCAGGCATGTGCCCTTCATCGGAGTCGAACCCAGGGCCCTTCAGTCCTTAGGCTGATGCTCTATCCACTGAGCCAAACCAGCCAGGGCTATTCTTATACAATTTCTGAGGCTCAGGAATCTGGAGTGGCTTAGCTGGGTGGTTCTGGTTCTTGGCCTCTGATGAGTTTGCAGTCAGGAGTTGGTTGGGGCTGCAGTTATCTGACAGCTTGACTGGCCTGGACCATTTACTTCCAGTTTCACTCCTGTGGCTGTTTATAAGAAGCCTCACTTCCTTGCTGGCCTAGAAGGCCTTCGTTTCTCATCACATGGCCCCTCCACAGGGCTAGTCACAACTTGGCTGCTGGCTTCCTTAGAGTGAATGATCCAACGAGTGTGCATTGAGTGTGCCATAGTGGAATCCAGATACGTTTCATAACTTAATCTCAGAAATGATATGCCATCACTCTGCCATATACAGGGGTGGGCAAAAGTTGTACGTATGGTAAAATATCTATAATAATAAAAGCATAATATGCTAATTAGACCAAATAGCTGAACGACCTTCCGAACGTCATTCCGGATGAAGTCGCAGTGGTGGGGGCTGAGGCAGAGGCAGTTAGGGGTGATCAGGCAGGCAGGCAGGAGGGCGAGCGGTTAGGAGCCAGTGGTCCCGGATTGTGAGAGGGATGTCCCATTGCCAGTTTAGACCCCGATCCCGCAGGGATCTCTGCAGGATCGGGGCCTAAACTGGCAGTTGGATATCCTCTGAGGGGTCCTGGATTGTGAGAGGGTGTAGGCCAGGCCAGGCTGAGGGGCCCCCCCCCCCAGTGCACGAATTTCGTGCACCAGGCCTCTAGTATAATATAAGAATAAATAATAATACAAGAATAAACTTTCACATACTCACTACTTTTACCCACCCCTGTACTATTCATCACATAGACTAACTGGTACACTGTGGAAAGTGACTACACAGGGTATTTGTTTGTTTGTTTCCTGACAAAATTTTAAAAATGTCTTTATTACTACTTACTAAGCACCAGCTTAATATTGCAGAAAATTTCAAATCACCCTTTGACAGTTCATTCTCCACCCCCCCCCAAATTCTTGATAATGAACTTTTCAAGTAAAGATACATTCTCTCTTCTGTATAAAAGTTTATAAAATAAAGGCGAAGAACTGTGTACGTCTTGCTGTAAAATGCTGCCCATGGCTGTGGGAACAGTGTCTGCCCAGCTGTCCTTACTGTCCAGGTCCTGAGCGACTCCTGCTCATGAACTGTCTCCTCACAAAGCACGTCCGCCACTTGCTGGGTGTATCGTCCTGAGGGCAAAAACTCCCTCAGTCTCAGCCAGGCCCTCGCCTCAGCCGCTGCAGATGGGCCCTCATCACTCCATCTGCCTGTATGCGTGCAGGTTTGGCGTAAATTGTGTTAAATGGAGCAGCAGGCTCTCCTGGCATGAGAAAATTAGTGACTCCCAGTGTATACATTTCTTTCTCGCCTTGGCTGTTGGAATTGCACTTTTGGAGTTTCTTTAGACACAAAATTGAACTCAGAGCATGCCGATCTCTGTGAATGTGTCTGCAGGTCTATGAACCCCACTTGACCTAACAAATATTTTGAACTGCTGTTTTGTGCTGCTATCTGCTAGACTCAGTCACTGGGGAGAACAAGTGGGTTTCATTTGATTTTGTCACATCCCACTGTTAGCCTTCTGGTCCTCACCGCAAGCATGGGGAGGGGAAGAGAGTGAGTAGCACAGGTGTTCAGGAAGGTAGCAGTGAGGAGGCTTGTGCAGGAGTAGAGAATGATTGGCAGAGAGTCTACTCAGTTTGTGTTATCGTGACTAGAGGAGAAGGATCCCTTCATCGCCTCCCCAGAAAGTGTTTCTGGAGCAGAGTTTTAAAGATCTTACTGCACTAATTTGTGAGTTGGACAGTGCTAGAACCTTTGGAACAGGGATTGCTGGATTAAGCTCCCCAATTCTGGGCTGATGGAGTGGTTGGCTCTGTCTATGTCTACGTCACAGGATTTTTATGGAGAACAATGAGATGTGTGGGAAAGTGTTTTGATAAGTATAGTGTTACACAAATATAATGTCTTGCTATTTTGCTCTTTCTGTGGTTTATTTTAGGATGGATACAACAAGAATTGAATACTCCATTCCTTTAAGAGAAAACTGGGCACTACCATATTTTGCATGCCAAATTGCTGCACTTACCGGCTATTTAAAAAGCAACTTAAATACTTATGGAGAGGTAAGATAGAATTTTGTTGTTTTGGTCATAAGTTGGGATTTATTTTCATTAATCATACAAATAATTTTTGGGGGTAAGATACAAATTTATTTCTCACAATTCTGACATATTACAAATTTGTACATACTTTTAAAGCTAATAATGAATTTAATTCAATGAAGCTTAGTTACTACATAATAAATGATATAGTTAGGGAGTCCTGATATAAATAACAAGTTATTCTGCATTCTAATTGACAATAAATTATTTTTAGGAGAAAGGAGATATATTGTTTTAGTACAGTTACTTGACAAATATATGAATAATATCTTATTTTAAAAATTAATCTCATTGTTATTTTGCCATTTCTCTCACTTCTGTAGCACTGATGGCCTTTAGTCATCACAAGTTAAAGAAATATTAATGAAATATAAGAAGTGTCTACAAATGACAGCAACATTAACTGTTATGGTAGCACTGCATATCTTTCTGTTTACCTTTGTTTTCTGTGATGAGGTGTAGGTAGGTTAGTGAGTTTCAGGAGACTGTCCCAGATAGTTCAGATTTTTTCTTTTGTTGTTGTTGCCATAAATCCTTTTGGTAGTCAGATGAAGCTTACAGACTCACTCAGAATAAAGATTTTAAATGCATAAACTGAAATGTAGCAATCTTTTGACAATCTGCCTATCTTGGGTTAAAATTCCTACCTGGAAAAAAAATCATAAGGAACAAGGAAAGGCCTCTATTGAACCTGATTGGCTGGGAAATAAGATGCACTCTAAGATTTCAAAAAGAAATAAGGTTTCTTTTTGAAATCTCAGAAAAATGTACTGTGTTCTCTTCTACTTTCAGTGATGACAAATGCTCTGAGCATAGGAAACTTTTAATTTCATTTTTTATAGCTATAGTATTTTTTTTTTATGTAAAACTAGAGGCCTGATGCACAAAATTTGTACAAGGGCCTCAGCTGTAGCCGCAGCCCCAGCTTCATCCTGAAGGTCGTCCAGAAGGTTGTTTTGCCGTTTGGCCTAATTAGCATATTACCCTTTTATTAGTATAGATAACACTAACACATTTCAGATTTGTACATTTTGTTTTGCTGTGTTTGTATAAATAGCTCTCTGAACAAGAATATTTTCTTTCTTTTTTTATGGTATTTATTTAATTAATTAATTAATTAATTTATGTTTAAATTTTTATTGTTGAAAGTATTATGTAGGTACTCCTTCCCCTCCCAAACCTCTTCCAGCAATTTTTAAAAAATATATTTTTTATTGATTTCAGAAAGGAAGGGAAAGGGAGAGAGAGATAGAAACATCAATGAGAGAGAATCATTGATTGGCTGCCTCCTGCACATCCCCTACTGGGGATCGACCTTCATTTTTAATAGCTATAGTATTTTCTTTTTTATGTAAAATTAGGGGCCTGATGCACAAAATTTGTACAAGGGCCTCAGCCACAGCCGCAGCCCCAGAAGGTCGTCCAGAAGGTCGTTCTGCCGTTCAGCCTAATTAGCATATTAGCTCTTTATTATATAGAATAACACTAACACATTTCAGATTTGTACATTTTTCATTGTTTTCTCTAACTGGATTCTCTGGGAATAATGGAATTATATGGTATCCTTCAAGATTGTCTTTTTCCCTCAGCCTAATGCTCTTAATATCCTCCCAAGACGTTGCATGTCAGTAGCTTGCTCCTTTTCATTGCTGGCAGTAGCGTATTTCTCACTCTGGAGGCTAGATCTCATGGTCCCGTTGCTCAGGCTATCCAAGCGCAGATAGCTTGTACAGTTACCTGAAGCCACCCAGAGATGCCTATGGTTGATTACTGAAATGCATTTAGTGTGTCACTTACGTTACATATAAAAAGGTTCATAATAAAGGCATAGTTGAAAAGGAAGTGAGAAGGTAAGGAGTAGTATATAAGAGTGCACAGAGTTTTGAAAATGTTCAGAGAAAGGAATAACTTAGTTAATTGTCCGGATTGTGTTTGATACGTATTTCTGTCTTATTTTCACTACATGTGCTTAAGTAGTTTGAGAATAAAATTAGCAGGGGTGTCAGTACAGTGTTGCTCCTCTCCAGCTTCCCCAAAGCATTCTCCAAATGGCCAGTAGGTCGGCTGGGTCTAGATCTGAGCCTTCATTGTTTTCTCTAACTGGATTCTCTGGGAATGGTGAACACTAACACATTTCAGATTTGTACATTTTTCATTGTTTTCTCTAACTGGATTCTCTGGGAATGGTGGTTTCAGGCCTGGTTATTGCAGTTCTGGTGGTTCCACATTAGAAGATTTCCAAAACACCTTCTCTTATAGCTGTTGTGATAGGAAGATCAGAAGCCCATGTGTTCTACAACACTGAGTCCTTCTGGGCCTTGCAGTTGGTATTCTTTGAACAACTGGTGGAAATTTTTCATCTCTTACTAGTACATTTTGTCTTCTGGTCTTAATCTTCTTCCGGATGCTGAAAAATTCTTATATCTGCTGATGGCCTGAGGTATTTCTGGCTGTGGAATATATCACTGAGTATAGTCAGCTGAATCTGGGTGGTTTAGGTTTCTTGACTTGACCTTCTCCTTCACTGTTCTTATGGGAACACAGTCATTTGACACCATTGCTGACGCTGACGGAAGAATTGGGAATGAAAGAGTAGATCCCTGGAAGTAGAGACTGTTGTTAGAAATATGCTAATGGACAGTAAATTTCTCACAGACTTGGTTGCTCACTAAGGTTCATTTGGGAGATGACACTGGAAGGACAGAATTGATTTTAGCCAGGCATATTTCACGCAAGGGCAATGAGATCCTTGTGTTTAGTTCTTCAGTCAAGGGAAACACCTAAGAGTTTTATGTGGTTGACAGTACGCTTTTGCTGAGAAGAAATTTAAATAGCAGTGTGCTTTTTCCACGAGCTGTGCAATAGGCTGAGTGAGACGCCAACATACTAATTAAGGAAAATATGAAGCAGGATGGAAGTGAAAATATTTTCTAGGGTGAAAAGAGTTACTTCCGCAATAAGAAAAGCCCACCAGAGCCAGGTCTAGTAAGGGCCACAGTTTTCTTATATTACTTTACCTCTTTGGTGATGAAAGAAAATTGTACTGAATTTTATTTTATTTTTCCCTTTGTCTTCTGAAATTCTCAGTGTGATGTTGAACTTTGAAGGATGTCATTGATTTCTCTCTAGAGTGCTTTAAGATCTTACTGTTTATGTCAGGATTTACTAATAATTTTGTTGTTTAGAAACAAAATTTTAAGAATTAGCTTAAAGTTGAACCAATAACAGAACTGCCACTTTGAGGTAACAACCTCATAGATATTTATAGTAATAATGCTATTGATATTTAGTTTCTTTCTTTTGTTTTCCCTAGAGGTTTTGCTACTTATTGATGAGTGCTTCAACTTACATGTTTATGATGATGTGGGAGTACAGCCACTACCTCTTGTTTCTTCAAGCAATATCTCTGTTTTTGCTAGATAATTTTTCACTGGAGCAAAGTGATAAGGTATTAATGGTATTTGAAATTGTGACTTTAAAATCAGAGAAATAAATGTTTTTATAGTGTTGTATCTAAAACCATCTAACTTTTAAGCTTTATTTTAAAATGTTTTAATAGGCTCTGATTTTATACTTCTCCAAAGATTGCTAAATTCATCTCCTCTATCCTTTTAGATGCACTTTGAAATTCCTTTAAACACGATCTGCTTAAACAAAGTCACCCTGTGCTTCCTCTCCATTTCTAGCCATTTCTCCTTCTTCTGTTTTTGTTTATTTAAAAAGAAAGAAAAGTGAAATATAGGACATGTACAAAATAGAATATGTCTGGTGTATATACAGTATTAGAATATAATATGGGTATTTGACCACCCAGGCCTGGAAGTCGAGTATTTGAATAGCCTAGAAGCCCCTTTCTAACTCTTCCCCAATCCTATCCAGTTCCCTCCCCAACAGAAGCTAACTGTCCTGAATCTTGTTAATTCTTTCCTCTTTTTCTTTTGGTTTTTACCACCTAGCTATGTGTTCCTAAAAAAATAAGCTGTAACTCATTGTGTATTTTTATCTGATTTGCCTTTGAGATTCATCCATGGTGATGTACTGAGCTATATTTTATTCATTTATATTTATTTATATATTCTATTGTTGATGGAAATTTCAGGGGTTTTTTTCAGTTCATGTGCTGCTATAAGCATTCTTTTTTTTTTTTTTTTAATCCTCACCGAGGATATTTTTCCATTGATTTTTCGAGAGAGTGGAAAAGAAAGGGAAAAACAAAGAGAAATATCGATGTGAGAAAAACACATCGATTGGTTGCCTCCTGCACGTGCCCTGGGGATCGAGCTTACACCCAAGGTGTGTGCCCTTGACCAGAAACGAACCCGGGACCCTTCGGTCCTCAGGCCAGTGCTCTATCCATTGAGCCAAACTGGCTAGGGCAGGGATTTTTTTTCTTGCTGTTTTTTTGTTTTTTATTTTTTTACTTTTAACACTCTGCCTTTTTATTTCCCATCCCCACCCTAAACACCTATGCTTTGTCATATATATATATATTGATTTCAGAGAGGAAGGGAGAGGGAGAGAGAGGTAGAAACATCAACGATGAGAGTGAATCATTGGTTGGCTGCCTCTTACATGCCCTACACTGGGGATTGAGCCTGCAACCTGGGCATGTGCCCTGACCAGGAATCAAACCATGATCTCCTTGTTCATAGGTCGACTCTCAGCCACTGAGCCACGGCTGGGCCCTATGCTTTGTCTTAATTTTCCCTTTCTAAAATGAATTAACTTTACACCCTAGCTGGTTTGGCTCAGTGGATAGAGTGTCGGCCTGTGGACTGAAGGATCCCGGGTTCAATTCCAGACCAGGGCATGTACCTTGGTTGCAAGCTCCTCCCAGGCCTGGGCCCTTGTCAGGGTGTGTGCAGGAGGCAACCAATCGATCAGCTTCTCTCACATGGATATTTCTCTGTCTTTCCCTCTTTCCCTCCTTTCCTGTCTCTAAAAATCAATGGAAAAAAATATCCTTGTGTGAGGATTAAAATAATAATAAAATGAATTAACTTTTGGATAGGTTAAATTATTATACTATTGAATTTTAAAAAATAAATCTACTAAGACATAACTTTCCTGGGAGATCTTCTATTAAGACACTGAATTTAACTTCCTTATGCTCATTGTTAAATAGACCAAATGCAAAAATACTTTTCTCTGTTCCTACATGCTATGGCAGTATATTTTCATTGGGTAGATTTCGGGAACTGCTGCTAAAGGTTTATGCAGTTTGATGTTTCATAGACACATTTTAACAACAAGGTAAGCCAAGTGAAATTAAGCCAGAGCCTGGGACTACAGAAGGTTCTTCCAGCAGACTTAGATGTCCTTAGTTTTAAAACTTTTAGCTTTGTTTGCAAGAATTCTTTCTAAGAAGGATGTGCTAAATTAATTACATAGCATAACATTAAAAAACGGATTGAACATTTGCACAATATTGTCCTAAATGATAATAGAGCATTTATCTTGTAATTATAGTAAAATCTAAACAAAACTAATGAAAATATGTACAATAAAATTCATTTTATTCTTATTCATTTTATTTTTCTCCCTACAGGTTCATGAAGTTTATAAAATCTATATATTTTCTCTGTTTCTGGGATATTTACTGCAGTTCGAGAATTCAGCTTTATTGGTGTCTCCTTTATTAAGTTTAGTAGTAGCCTTAATGCTTGTTAAGTGCCTTCAGGTAATTAGAATTGCCTTTTTATCATTCTTATGGTGAATTTTTAAATTGTTAGTTTTTTATGCCTCACTTCTTTGTTCATTTTATTCCCTTCCTCCCCCCACAGCTAAATGTGAAGAAAAGAACTTTCGTAGCTAAAATAATGAAATTTATTAATTTTTATTTGGTGTGTACTCTGACAGTGACATTGAATATTATAATGAAGGTAAGTACCTCTGTGTCTTTATGTAGCAGAACAAATGAAATAATGAAATAGAGTGGACTAAATTTTAATGAGGGTAATGCGATAGCAAGATAATAGTTTGTACAGTAAAATTTTGAGTTGACCAATGATCATACGTAGCATATTAAGTTAGAAAATAGGATTATGGTTCTTTTCTGGATATACTTTAAAAATACATCTGCTTTATTTTCCATTTAATTTAAAGAGTCATTGTTATGCAGTTAACATTAAGTAATACATGGAATCAACTGAGATGAGTCAGAAGTATTTGGAAGAGTAGGTAGGTTACTTAAGCTAGGTGGGATAAGGATGAAATCTTACTACCCCATTATAGTTTTAGGCTTGAGTGTAAAGTAATGTGATGGACTTATGCGTATAGATCTCCTTGCTTCACAGTTACACCATGTATTATTTCATTCATATTTTTTGTTTTGTAGTCTTGCTGTGTTTTCTGTTTATAGTATTGGACAATAGCATATTGCTGTAAGTATAGCAAATCGTTTTTTGTGGTAACTTGTGTTTTTCTCCTCCAGACATTTGTCCCACACAAAGAAAATGGGCACATGCTGAAATTCCTTGAAGTGAAACTTGGACTAAATATGACTAAGTAAGTTTTAGATTATTGAAGTTTACCTAACTCTATACCACTTAGAACAGTGGTTCTCAACCTTCCTAATGCTGAAACCCTTTAATACAGTTCCTCATGTTGTGGTGACCCCCAATTTCATTGTTACAAATTGAACATAATTAAAGCATAGTGATTAGTCACAAAAACAATATGTAATTATATATGTGTTTTCTGATGGTCTTAGGCGACCCCTGTGAAAGGTTCGTTTGACCCCCAAAGGGGTCGCAACCCACAGGTTGAGAACCGCTGACTTAGAAGATAAAGAACAAAAATAATCAAAGAAGGAAGTACACACCTATCTAAATACCACTTAGAAAATAAGTAATTTGGGATATTATATCTAGAAAAAATCTGACATTAATGTTTTCTCTCATTAAAAAAATTTAGGTCTTCTTGAAATTAGATATACTTAAACCTTAGTAGCATCAAAGTATTTAGAGGTTACTTTCTCCCTTGATAAGGAATAATGGTCTAATCTAAGGTCAGAATAAATGAAAGATTTAAAATGAATAAAGAACCACAGTAATTTTAACCACTACACTGGCAAAATGCTTACATGAAAAAGGGTATGGGGCCCAGCCAGCATGGCTCAGTGGTTGAGCATCGACCTATGAACCAGTTAGCGTGCAGGCCGGGTTGCGGGCTCAATCTCCAGTGTGGGGTGTGCAGGAGGCAGCCGATCAATGATTCTCTCTTATCATTGATATTTCTATCTCTTTCCCCCTCTCCCTTCCTCTCTGAAATCAATAAAAAAGACATATTTTTTAAAAGGATATGGGCACAAAAAAGGGGTTAGGCAGTAAGATATTTATTTCATAGCGAAGAATCTCATCTTGGGGTTACAATGGTGATTGGAGAAGAAGCTGACTTTTTATGAGACTGACACACTGCCTGCTGCACTAAGAGGACAGCTTAGAAGCTGACGTTTTTTAAAATTCAAGTATAGTGCTTTGCCTTTTTTGTTTGTTTGTTTGTTAAATACATTTTTAAAGCCTAAAATGAAATACATGATTTTACATACTGACAGAGTCTACTTGCACAACAGGAAATATATTTTACCTGCACATTTCTCTAATTCATATAATATACCTCAGAACCCTATTATCATTTGCTGCAATACATGGGATTTTAGATACTGTGCATGTAATTTCAGGTTGTGATATATCACAGTTAACAAAATATTTGGCATGGTTTAAACAATGGAGAAGTCTTCTGAAGTGTAAGCCATATATGTATGTCTAAGATAAAATGATCCTTTAGAAGGCCATGTTCTATATTAGAAAGCCCTGATTGATATTGGTATATGTAGGCCTTATACATAGCAAGCAATTAGTAAAAAATGGTTGTAGACATTTGTAATTTTCTGCCCTTTTCACTGACTTTCTTTCCCTTTAACCTTGGAAGACTCTAGAATGAGCCTAGGATTAAGGGCTGCTTTTATTCTTGTTTCTTAGTTGATATTATGTCAGCCCCTTTATTCAGCATGTCAGCATCTAGACTTATTTCACAAGGTAATGTATTATGTGTTTTAAGAATAAGACATGGCCTTAGCTGGTTTGGCTCAGTGGATAGAGTGTTGGCCTGCAGACTGAAGGGTCCCAGGTTCAATTCTGCAAGAGGGCGCAGGCCAGCCAAGGAACCCCACCGGTGCACGAATCCATGCACCGGCCTCTAGTAAAAATATATACATTTTTTAAAAAAGAATAAGATATGGTTCCTGTCCTTAAGAATATTGCCATCTCATTAAATACTTTCTTTTCTTCTTTTTCATTAAATAGTTTTTGTACAAATAATAACATGGCTGGTATAAGCAGTAAATGCCCTATGCTGAAGTGTGCCAATTGGATATTAGGATTTGGAGTTCACCAGTATTTTAGGAAACATTTCTGTTGAGACAGACTTTCAGGAACCACTAATGAAATGTTAATAAATATTTATTGGACATGCAGGAACTAGGCCAGGTACTCTGGGGGTTAAAAAAATGACTGCAATCTAACATGGCAGATTGCATTAAGGACGATCATTGAGGGATAAGGAAAGTGCTGTGGGAATATTGAGAAGGAAAGGCTGAGACTGGGGGTATGGAACGAATACTCATTAAATTGGGATTTGAATTGGACCATTATAGAATTAATAACTTTAATAGGCAGATTTTAAAAATGCGCATTTATTGTAAGTGCAAGATATTTTGATGGCAGCTTCTTTGATACAGCTGTATTGCTGTTTAACATATTGTGAAGCATTAACCTATAATTCTAAATCCAGTGATTTTTGAAGCAGGCATTCTCCATGAGTCCATGAGCACTTCTGAACATCACTTCATCTCTTACCTCCTTCCCCAGGGCTAGGGATTAAGGATAAAATGGAATTAAAAAAACACACACAACTTGATGGATTGGGAATGGGAATGCAGATAAAACTACATATAATTGGGCGTCTTGTTGCTCATATTTAGCTTAGGGTAAAAAAAAGGTTATCCTGTTTCTCATAGCTCAAAAGGTTTACATATCAAATTTTATGGTTTCTGTCCTAGTAATTACATATCTCTTTTTAAAAGAGGTCCCAGCCCTAACCGGTTTGGCTCAGTGGATAGAGCACCGGCCTGCAGACTGAAGGGTCCCAGGTTCGATTTGGTCAAGGGCATGTACCTTGGTTGTGGGCACATCCCCAGTAGGGGCTGTGCAGGAGGCAGCTGATGGATGTTTCTCTCTCATCGATGTTTCTACCTATCGCTCTCTCTTCCTCTCTGTAAAAATCAATAAAATATTTTTTTTTAAAAAAGAGGTACCAGTTGAATTACATTTATTAAAATCAGGGCTATCTAATAATAATGTGAGCCACATAAATAATTTTCTAGTAGCCATATTAAAAAAGTAAAGAGAAAAAAGTAAATTTAATTTTAGTAATGTATTTTATTTAATCCAACAGATCAAAAATATTATTTTAATGTATAAACAATTAAAAATGAACATATCTTGTATTTTTAAATGCTTTTTTTATCTTTGAAATCCAGGGTATATATTGGCCACATTTCAAGAGCTAATAGCCACATGTACCTAATAGTTAACATAGTGGATAGTGCAGATGTAGAGGTTGGATAGCTGAATTTTTTATTGTCTTCCAGATACAAATAGAAAGTGGAACTCCCTTAAAACTGTATTGGGCTCTAGAGATGGTAGCATTCCTTGGTAACAGAAAGCCGCAGTTTCACATTTACTGGAGCAGTTTGTTGAGGAGATGTCATAAATGCTATTGTCTTCACTTGTAAAGGGTGGGGTCTGGCCCTTATAAGTGAATGGATTTAAGAAATGTGTTTTGTTTTATCTAAGTTTCTACTGAGATTAAAAAAATACTCTTATGGTCAGTAGTTTAAAACACCTGTTATTTTAAAATGCTTTTTGTCTTCTGTAGGAATTTCACAATGAATTGGCTCCTATGTCAAGAATCCCTACAGGCACCATCTCAAGAATTTTTTTTGCGATTGACACAGTCTTCTTTACTACCTTTCTATATTTTAGTGTTAATTATTTGTTTTCTTTCTATGATGCAAGTTATTTTTAGGAGAATTAAGTAAGTACCAATGAAACTCAATCACATTTCTAATATATTATGGAAATATAGTATATAAAATACTTATTTTTAATATTCCTCCAATATTTGTGTACTTGTTTTAGAGCTTCTAATTTCATTCTCTCTTCATCAGTATTTAAAAAATACAAGTTAACCAGATAAAATTTAAGTTTATAAATCTAAACATGTAATATCCAGATTTAGTTTAGGAGTAATATTTAAGTAATCAGGTAAGCTTTCACAAACTTGATAATTTACTCAGATTTTTACTTAACATAAGAATAATTTTTTCTATTTAACCTCAATGAAGCTAGTAGTATCAGTGATTTTAATTATAAAATGGAATTAAAAAAACACACACAACTTGATGGATTGGGAATGGGAATGCAGATAAAACTACATATAATTGGGCGTCTTGTTGCTCATATTTAGCTTAGGGTAAAAAAAAGGTTATCCTGTTTCTCATAGCTCAAAAGGTTTACATATCAAATTTTATGGTTTCTGTCCTAGTAATTACATATCTCTTTTTAAAAGAGGTCCCAGCCCTAACCGGTTTGGCTCAGTGGATAGAGCACCAGCCTGCGGACTGAAGGGTCCCAGGTTCGATTTGGTCAAGGGCATGTACCTTGGTTGTGGGCACATCCCCAGTAGGGGCTGTGCAGGAGGCAGCTGATGGATGTTTCTCTCTCATCGATGTTTCTACCTATCGCTCTCTCTTCCTCTCTGTAAAAATCAATAAAATATTTTTTTTTAAAAAAGAGGTACCAGTTGAGTTACATTTATTAAAATCAGGGCTATCTAATAATAATGTGAGCCACATAAATAATTTTCTAGTAGCCATATTAAAAAAGTAAAGAGAAAAAAGTAAATTTAATTTTAGTAATGTATTTTATTTAATCCAACAGATCAAAAATATTATTTTAATGTATAAACAATTAAAAATGAACATATCTTGTATTTTTAAATGCTTTTTTTATCTTTGAAATCCAGGGTATATATTGGCCACATTTCAAGAGCTAATAGCCACTTGTACCTAGTAGTTAACGTAGTGGATAGTGCAGATGTAGAGGTTGGACAGCTGAATTTTTTATTGTCTTCCAGACACAAATAGAAAGTGGAACTCCCTTAAAACTGTATTGGGCTCTAGAGATGGTAGCATTCCTTGGTAACAGAAAGCCGCAGTTTCACATTTACTGGAGCAGTTTGTTGAGAAGATGTCATAAATGCTATTGTCTTCACTTGTAAAGGGTGGGGTCTGGCAGTTATAAGTGAATGGATTTAAGAAATGTGTTTTGTTTTATCTAAGTTTCTACTGAGATTAAAAAAATACTCTTATGGTCAGTAGTTTAAAACACCTGTTATTTTAAAATGCTTTTTGTCTTCTGTAGGAATTTCACAATGAATTGGCTCCTATGTCAAGAATCCCTACAGGCACCATCTCAAGAATTTTTTTTGCGATTGACACAGTCTTCTTTACTACCTTTCTATATTTTAGTGTTAATTATTTGTTTTCTTTCTATGATGCAAGTTATTTTTAGGAGAATTAAGTAAGTACCAATGAAACTCAATCACATTTCTAATATATTATGGAAATATAGTATATAAAATACTTATTTTTAATATTCCTCCAATATTTGTGTACTTGTTTTAGAGCTTCTAATTTCATTCTCTCTTCATCAGTATGTAAAAAATACAAGTTAACCAGATAAAATTTAAGTTTATAAATTTAAACATGTAATATCCAGATTTAGTTTAGGAGTAATATTTAAGTAATCAGGTAAGCTTTCACAAACTTGATAATTTACTCAGATTTTTACTTAACATAAGAATAATTTTTTCTATTTAACCTCAATGAAGCTAGTAGTATCAGTGATTTTAATTATAAAGTTTGATTATTTTTTTAAATGTTTATCATGTTTGAAAAGGGATTGTGTGTGGCATCTTGATTTTGAGAGCTTAGTTGTTTAAATTATGATTTAACTATATTGATTTAGCAATTACTAGTGAGTGATAATTGATCTTGGAAAGGATCCTAAAACACTTTTTAAATTATATTTCTGAACTTTCATTTTTAGTCTTCACTGAGTCAGTTACATTTAGGTTCTAAAAGCCATTTTCAAAGACTTGGAGATAGGAAAGTTAGTATTGGACTAGCAGAATATACTTTCAAATGATCAGAACTACTGATATTTCTTTTTATGAGGAAATTTAAGATCTTTTATTTTTCAAATATTTATTTTAGTAAAAAACATATTTCCTTTCTGTAGTGGTGAGTCCCTAAAAGAAACTGTTACTCTTGAAGATGGACGAATTGGAGAAAGGCCAGAAATAATTTATCATGTGATTCACACTATTTTTTTTGGTTCTCTTGCAATGATTATAGAAGGGTAAGTGTACTTTATTTGACCTATTTAAAAAATATATTTTTTTATTGCCTGGCCGGTATGACTCAGTGGTTGAGCATCAACCTGTGAACCAGGAGGTCTTGGTTTTATTCCTGGTCAGGGCACATGCCCTGGTTGCTGGCTTGATCCCCAGGAGGAGGCATGCAGGAGGCAGCCAATCGATGATATATTTTAAAAGTTTTTAAAAAATATTTTTATTGAGTTTTTAGAGAGAGAGGAAGAGGAGAGGGAGAGCGAGAGAGAGAGAGAGAGAGAGAGAGAGAGAGAAAGAAGAAACATTGATGTGAAAGCAAAACATTGTTTGGCTGCCTCCTGTATGCCCCTTACCGGGGATCGAGCCTGCAATCTGGGCATGTGCCCTGACCAGGAATAAAACCGGCAACTTCCAGTACATGGATGACGCCCAATCAACTGTGCCACACCATCCAGGGCTGACCTATTTTCTTAAGTAAAGAAGTGTCCTTTCTAATTGTAATTGGTGGATACTTTCAAGAATACATGTGTAAAACTTTATATAATAAACTCAAAGTCTATAAATTTTTTTAACCTAACTGGAGTTTACAAAGGCATTTACTAGTAGTTGTGGAGGTGGGTAGGAGAGTGCAGTTTAAGGAACATTTCCTAAATGGGGTGACAGTATTGAGAGAGAAATAGAGATTGGCCTGGCTGTCACGTTTCTGGTGTATATGTAATTTGGGAAGAAGTATTTTTTGGGAACTATAAGCGGGAAGTAGCAAGAGATAATGTTTAGAAAAATAAACAGGGACCAGATTAGGTGGTTTAATGCCAAAATTTGACAGGATCAGATTGCTTTTTAGTAAGATCTCTCTGGTAGCAAAAATTGAGAAAGATCTGAGCAAAACAAGATTAGAAGAAAATAAGCCATTAAGAAGGTGTCACAGTAGAATTTAGAGGAGAGTAGCAATGGAGATGGAGGAAAGGGGCTAAAACTAAAATATTTAGGAATTGGAAACTGCATGAGTAGTAGTAGGGACTGTGGTGGAGGGACCGTAGGAAGAGCTGTAACTCAGAGCCAAAGGAGGACTTTTTAAAGGAAGATGTGATCAGATAGAGTAGAAGGTGAGGAAAGAAAGATGAGTGTGGACTTCAAGGAGTCTGGCTGTAATGGGAATCAGAGTCTAAGGCAGAGGGGTACATTTGTACTGGGAGGGAAAAACATATGCATTATGGGATGGCAGCATTGAGATTGTTCTGCAAACTGTCTGGAACACTAATCATATTTAGAGATGTAGTAGGAGAAAAAACTGGAAAGGCAAGTCAAGGCCATATTTTAGAGGGTCCTGAAAACTATTTAGATGAGTTTTCACTTATTTCAGTAGGCATGGGGAGCCATTAGAATTTTGAACAGAAAGTGTCTTATAGTTATGTGTGAAGAAGATTCATTTGGCATTTGGTTGAGCTGGAGGAGAGTCTAAAGGTAGAGATGTTAATTTATAGGCTCTTGCAATAAAATAGCGAGCAATGGTTGAATACAGAGAAATCCGTGGATTTGCATAATGGTCTAATCTCTAGAGCAGAGAGTTTGCGTTCGAGGGGATATTCTATAATATAATTCAGTGTGTATGATATCTCCTGGAGTTATAAACCAGATTGTAGTATTGATGTTCATAGGATATCTCATATGTGACTCCTTTTGTCTTTTCCAGCTTGAAATACCTCTGGACTCCTTATGTGTGCATGTTAGCAGCATTTGGTGTTTGTTCTCCTGAACTTTGGACGACACTTTTCAAGTGGCTTCGATTACGAACTGTACACCCAGTGTTGTTGGTGAGTCATTGTTATTTTAGGTTAAGTACTTGTTTCTCTTCTAGTTAATGTAAATGGAAACCACATTGAATACCACTGAAATAGCATGAATAAGTCACATTATAACTTACGGGTAGAAAAAGAGATCCTGTGAAAAACATTTTTAATAATTTCTAAGTGTAAAAGAAATGCATTTTAATGCAGACAACTTAAAACATAAAAGGTAAAGAAAGTGAATCAGTAATGTGAGAGACTATCAAGAATTTTTTATATCTCTGATTTGATTGAGATTTCTGGTATATTTTCAGTGTGAATGGAGCACTTATACTGCCTGCTGTGTGCAATGTGCTTGGAGTACACAGATAAATAAAACATGATTAATTTCATCATGTAGATTATGGTCTCCTGATCATAAAAGTAGCTAATAAAAAATACTGATGCGCCTGGCTGGTATAGCTCGGTGGGTTGAGTGTCATCCCATGGACCAAGAGATCCCGGGTTTGATTCCCAGTCAAGAGCACATACCTGGGTTGTGGGCTCGATCCCCAGTAGGGACATGCAGGAGGCAGCTGATTGATGTCTCCCTCTCATCAATTTTCCTATCTCTCTCTCCTTTTTCCTTCCTCTCTATCTAAAAATCAATAAAAACATATTTTTTTAAAAAGTATTGATGCTATTGGAACACAGAGAAGAGATACCTAATTCAGTTTTTAAGACTTTCCAGTATGACATTTGAAAGATGCTAAGTTATTAGTCAAATGAAGGGGAAAAAAAGGGTATTTGTGGTAGAAGGAATAAACACAGATAGGCAAAGAATGATGTAGTCAAAGGGTATAAAAACAGAGGAAAAGAAAAAGCATGATACATTTAGTTTTGTTAGCACATAAAATGTGAGGCGAGGTAGGGCTGGTCAAGAAATGAGACTGGAGAAGTTGAAGAGGATAAGGTCACAGAGGCCTCTCAGTGTCCTACTATGGCACTTGGTCTTACCCTAGAGGCAGTAGGAAGGCATGGAGATTGCAGGCAGGGGTGTGAGAGACAGACGTACAGTTTTATCTCAGCTCACCCTTACAGTTCCGAGAATGATAGACTTATGGTGACAGACTGGAGCCAGGAAAGATGCTGTCACTCAGGTACAGGCCATGGTAGATGAAAGTAGCAAAAGCTTTAATTCATTGAGTGCTCAACATGTGTCAGGTATTTTTCAAAGCATTTCACATGCTACTCAACCCCTACAAACACCTATTGGCTAAGTTTTATTATCAGTATTTTATAGACAAAAAACAACTAAAGCCTACACCGGTCAAATAATTTTCCTGAGATCACATAGCTTATATGGCTGGACATCAAGATTCACACCTAGGTTTTTCTTATTGCAAAGCCCATTCAATTCATACTGTGCTTTACTGGAGTGAAAAGAATAGTTAGAAGATTAATAAGACTTGGTGCCTGTTAAGTGTGAAAAAGGGAGAAATCATTGTTGTTTTCTATGTTTCTGGTTTATATGACTGTGGATCGTGGGGTCACCAATGAACACGGGACAATAAGGAGAAAGACTTGGGAAGAACGATGATGAATAATTACCTTTAATATTAGTCATGTTGTATTTTGCCAGTTTTTTCCCAAGGAATTTATACATTTTTATTTTAGCATGCTAGTATATTGATGTATATTAGCTATTTTGCCTATGTTATTCCATTGTGTTTTTGTTACTGTTGTTAGTGTTTTAGGTAGCTGTTCAGGAACCTTTGTGTACTCTTCATAACTTAAATTCCTATCAAAATTGTCAAATATTGATCTGCTATTTGAAATACATGTGTGTTACTGTTTTTATGTTCTGCCTTATAATTATATAGTAAATATGTATCACTTTACCTCCAGTTTAATATGTCTTAAATTTATCATTGGTCTTCAACCATCTCACTTCATGAGCTAGGTTTCATGCTGACTTAAATTTGTGTAACTATTGATATATGCTTGGTCACAGAGTCAGTGTCTAGTACTTTAAAGTACAATCTGAAATGTATTTACTCATAACCCTTTTGCTTTCATGTTTTAGGCTCTTATTCTGAGTATGGCTGTGCCCACTATAATAGGTCTCAGCTTATGGAAGGAGGTATGAAAATCAGATTTTTGTATTAAAACTTTATAAGGTAGATATGTGTGTAGGATATTTATATTGAAATACTGTTCTAACAAAATAAAGCCTGGTATTCTTAGTAATAATTTTTTTATCATTAAAAACGTGATAGAAAAGCTAAAATATTTTTAGAATACCATCTGATGCAATTTTCTGTTGTCTAATACTGTCATTAATTCAATTTATAATTGGCAAAGGAAATTGCTGAATAAACAGTGTTTATATTAAAAAGTATTTTGGCAACTCCAAAATGTAAATATTTATAAAATAATATAAATTAAAATATAGCATGAAACTAATCGCCAATAAACATGTGAACTACTTGACCCCAAATTAATTCATTTAAATTATTTATGATGTGTGTGCATAAAAGACACAACTGGTAATTGCTTGGTAATTATAAAATTATTTATTGAGTCTAGACAGTAAATTAACCATAAAATAGTTGATTTGGGTTGAGAAGACTGAGCAGGTCATTGTCAGAACAGTGTTCTAAAATTGTTTGTAAACAAGTCTCTTTTCAAATACTCTGGAAAAGTTTTAGACTTTCTAGATACTTATTCTTTGGGTGGGTTTTGTTTTTGCATTTTAGTTTTTTCCAAGATTAATGACAGAATTAACTGAACTACAAGAATTCTATGACCCAGATACAGTGGAACTTATGACCTGGATAAAGTAAGAACTGAACTGCCCAATACTGTTGTTAAACTATTAATTAATCATTGTGTGTTATCTTATGGATTCAGGGTAAATAATAATGTTTTTTCAAATTCTCATGAAATTTTACATTGTATTTTTAGGGGTATTTAATTTTTTATTGGATTTACAATTCTAATTTTCTAAATGAACTCATCTCCTTTGAAGATATAGCATTGATAAGTCTGAGATTTGAGACTCTCTGCCATCAAACACCTAGAAATGTGGAATAAAAAGGAACAAATACCTTTTATTTGAATAGTCAAAAGGGTGTTTCTTTCGCCCTAGGTTGGAGTTGGACAAATGGTGGATTGCTAGTCTTGGTAATTAAGGTTACCAAGATTTTTTATTTCAATTTTAATGCCCACCCAATATAAGAGATAGGATTTTAGGCCTATGGAAGCAGAGAATTATAACTGAGACAACTTTTCCCCTCCCCCAAAATACACATATACAACCAAGGGGCTCTCAGAGGGTAACACTGCCAGTGAAAGAATAGACTAGCAAAAGATCCACCCAGTGGTAGAGAAGAATGATCAGAAAGCATGACCTTTTTGACCTCCGCTCTTGGTCAAAAAAATATCTCTCTGAATTTGTAGCAATGGATCTGCATTAACAAGGGTTTGTAGTTTGAAATTATACTTGACTAATCTAGGAAACCCCAAATCAAGAAATCAACATAAAAAGTGGCTCTGGGTTGGTCTGGAAGACCTGACATATTCTCAACCCAGAGGGTTCCACAAAAACATTTCATGAAGATTAGCTGTAAAATTACACAACACATGAGGAGACAGTCTAACAGTAAGAATCCAGCTCTCTAGAATTAGACCTTTAGTAATTTCTGAAAATAAAATTATTTTGTGTCGGTTAGTTTTATGGCATAGTAAACTACCACAATATTTAGTGGCTGGCTTACAAACAATAAACTTACTATTTTGCCCCATTTTGAGGGTTAGGAGTGGGGAGGATTCTTCTGGTCCAGGCCAGCTCAGCTGGGTTTGGATAGTCTGGTATGGCCTCTCTCACATGTCTAGGTTTGGGTAGGTATCAGCTGAGAGCATGGAATTGACTTGTCCATGTGCCACCTGATTTATATGTTTACGAGAGGCCCAGTGCACGAATTCATGCACAGGTGGGGTCTAGCCGACCCACCCCCATGGGGGCCTATCGGGCCGGACTGGCAAGGGAGGTGAGGGGCCGCAGGAGGTTGTCCGGCTGGCCCCACCCCTGATCCGGCCGGGGCCAGCGGCGGGGAGGGGCTGCCCCCGATTGGGCCGGTTGTCTGGCCACAGTGCGCGTCATAGTGATCGGTCGTTCTGGTCGTTCCGGTCACTTGGCTTTTGTGTATATAGATTGTCTTCAAGCAAGGATCTTATCTCCACCCCCCTCCTTAAAAAATTTCTATATCTTCTGCACTCAGAATCATTCCTAATACATAGTAGGTGCTCAGTTTATTTTTGAATGGATCCATAAATAAAATGAAGTGAAGGCTGACATTGAAACATAAGTATAAAATATATTGTAAGTTGCTTGGTATTTTAGAGTTTATATAAATGAGTGATCTAAATAGTATATTTACCTTTCCAGTGTCTTAATCTCTATGGTTCTTTGCAGAAGGCAAGCTCCAGTTGCAGCTGTGTTTGCAGGGAGTCCACAGTTAATGGGTGCGATTAAATTATGCACTGGATGGATGGTGACAAGCTTGCCTCTTTACAATGATGATGATCTTCTGAAGAGAAACGAAAATGTAAGGCATTTTAGATTCTATATTTGGATCTTTTTTAACATCACTCTATTTTAGTATAGTTTTGTAATGATGTATATGTTCCTGATTAGCTGGGAAAATCCAAATAATTTTAAAAGAGTTAATTAGCTTTAATTTTTAAAAAGCTACATAATATCATTGTTCTCAAATTATTGAAGGAAGAAGTCAATTAATGTCTTGATACACTTTGTATTTCCAAGCTAAAAATCTATTACACTGTGGTTTATGTTTCATTGTGGGCTGTTATACTTAGTATAACATTAGAATGGTATCTAGTTACTTAATGTTCAGAGACCATATCATTTGTATTAGACACATATCTATAATTCATGACATGTGACTGATTTTTGTATGCTCTCCTATGCCAGTGATTCTCAAACCTGGGACAATTATGCATCTAGGGGATATTTGGCAATGTCTGGAGACATGACTTAATTGTTAGGGCAGATCCCCAGTCAGGGCCCATACAAGAATCAACCAATGAATGCCTAAATAAGTGGAAGAACAAATCGATGTCATCTATCTATCTATCTATCTATCTATCTATCTATCTATCTACCTACCTGTCTGTCTGTCTATCTATCTATCTATCTACCTACCTACCTACCTATCTATCTATCTGTCTATCCCTTCCTCTCTCTCTAAAATCAATTTTTTTAAAAAATTAAAGAGAAAAATTGAAATGAAAAATCCCATGAAATCAAAACTTGAATTTTAGGCATCCTTGGCTCATTCAATATTTTGTGACAATGGTCAAGTTATTTTTAACCTTGCTGAATTTATTTTATGTATAGAATGAGTATAAAATACTCTGATACATGGTAATATAAAAGATTAAAAGAGCTATCACAACTCAATGATAAAAAGACAAATTAATTTAAAAATGGGCAAAGGCCATTTGCAACAACAGGGATGAATCTTGAGTGCACTATGTTAAGGGAAATAAGTCAGATAGAGAAAGATAATATTGTATGATATCACTTATATATTGAATTTTTAAAAGCTGAATTCATAAAAACATTGAGTGCTTACCGGGGTCTACAGGGTAGGAAATTGGGAGATGTTGGTCAAAGGATACAAACTTTGAGTTATAGGATGAGTAAGTTCTGGGGATCTAATGTACGAAATGGTGATTATAGTTATTAATGCTGTATTTTATACTTGAAAGTTGCTAAGGGAGTAGATCTTAAATGTTCTTACCACAAAAAAGAAATGGTAATTATGTGACATAATGGAGGCTAACATTATGGTGATAATCATTTTGCCATATTTAAATATATTAAATCAGTGCATTGTATATTTTAAATGCACAAGATGTTATATGTCAATTATATTTCAATAAAGCTGAGGGGAAATGGGCAAAGGACTTGAATGTAGCCCTGGATGGGTAGCTCAGTTGGTTAGAGCATCATCCTTATATGCCAAGGTTGTGGTTTTGATCCTGGTCAGGGCACATACAAGAATCAACCAATGAGTGCATAAATAAGTGGAACAACAAATCAATGTTTCTCTCTCTCTTTCTCTCTTTCCCCTCCCTTGTTCCCTTCCTTCCTTTCTCTCTTTCTAAAATCAGTAAGTAAATAAAAAATTAAGAATATAAAAAAGACTTAAATGTACATTTCTCCAAAGATGATATACAAATGGCTAATTGCATAGGAATCTATATATATAAAAGCCTAAGTGACCAGCCGACTGGCTGACCAGTAGACCCATTGGTAGCTATGACGTGCAATAACCAGCATGGGGCAGATGCTCAACATAGGAGCTACCGAGTGACAGCAACTTTGCAGAGTGTCCTCTCGCACTCCGAAACCCCTTGGGGGATGTCGGACTGCCAGTGTCAGCCTGATCCCCAGAGGCCAGGCCGAGGGATCCCACTGGTGCAAGAATCCGTGCATTGGGCCTCTAGTACTTTTATAAACTTCCTGAAGGCAGGAATCAAGTTTCAGTGAATATCTTTATTTTCCACAGATAGTACTCAGTCCTAAGAACATAATAGAGAAAGAAAGAGCATAATGGATGCTTAATGTATAGTTTTGCTTAACAAAAGTTTTAAATGTCCTTTAACATAACTGTTTTAATGATATTCTTTCAGATCTATCAAATCTATTCAAAGCGATCTGCTGAGGATATTTATAAAATACTGACATCTTACAAAGCTAATTACCTAATTGTAGAGGATGCTATCTGCAATGAGGTGGGAACCATGAGAGGCTGTAGGGTTAAAGATTTATTAGACATTGCAAATGGCCATGTAAGTAACCATTTGGAAATGAATTCTTTTTGAGAAAAATGACTTTATTTAAACATGTAATCTTCAAACTTAGTTTGGGAACTTAGCTAAGAATATAATTAAAAGTTATTTAACAATGGGCAGAACTTACTAAAAGTAGTTTGAAGTATTTTTTCAATATACAAAAGAAAATTTGGATATTTTGGGGGGCGGATTTTTTTCCCGCTACATGGATTTCTTACTTATTACCTACACTTATGTATGTTCAACATTTATAAACAAAAGATGGCCAGGGATATAAAGTACAGCATAAGGAATATAATCAGTAATATTGTGATAACTATGTACAGTGCCAGGTGGGTACTAGAAATATCAGGGGGAATACTTTTTAAAGTACATAATTGTCTAACTACCATGCTATACATCTGAAACCGATACAAAATAATACTGAAAAAAAGCATTAAAAAATAAAACGATGGTGTAATTTGAATGATTTTAACTCATAATAATCTAAAGAGCAGCTGGTTGCAATGTCCTTTTTTTAAAAATATGTTTTTGTTGATTTTAGAGAGGAAGGGAGAGGGATAGAGATAGAAACATTGATCAGAGAGAAACATTCATCAACTGCCTCCTGGAATCCCCCACTGGCATTGAGCCTGAAACCCTGACATGGGCCCTGAATGAGAAATGAATCGTGACCTCCTGGTTCAGGGGCCAATGCTCAACCACTGAGCAGCACCAGCTGGGCAATGTTATATTCTTATGTTGAGAAATTGATTGTAATTTGATACATATCTACTATCTTACCTCTCAGTCTGTAGTGTATACTGTATGTGTAGCAATTAAGAAGACTGGCAGGGGAGTGTTGGAGAGGAAGGGAGAGGGATAGAGATAGAAACATTGATCAGAGAGAAACATTGATCAACTGCCTCCTGGAAGTCCCCCACTGGGGATTGAGCCTGAAACCCTGACATGGGCCCTGAACGAGAAATGAATCGTGACCTCCTGGTTCATGGGCCAATGCTCAACCACTGAGCAGCACCAGCTGGGCAATGTTATATTCTTATGTTGAGAAATTTATTGTAATTTGATACATATCTACTATCTTACCTCTCAGTCTGTAGTGTATACTGTTTGTGTAGCAATTAAGAAGACTGGCAGGGGAGTGTTGTCTGGAATGGGTACCTTTACTCCTGGGAAAGTTGAGTGTAGAGGACCTTAGGAAAAGTTTATTAGGTCATTAGATCATTCTAGGTTGGAGTGCACATTCTATTCAGGTTGCGGCCAATATTTTTTCCGTTCTTTCCTAAATAATCAGTTGTCTTATCAGACCAGTTTGGAGGTGAGAAATTAGTTTTTATGATTTTCATCTTTCTCTTTCTTCATGACCTCTTAAATTTGTAATATAAACCTATTCTGTTTTCTGCTGCATGTATTTTGAATTTTCTCTGTTGGTACTTGATATCTGAGATCTTTTGCTTAATTGGTGACAAAATGGAATTTTAGTAAACATCACAGTTATTCAGTAATTACTGTATTGCTATCTGCTATCTGGAGCCTTTTTATTCTGCTTTTGGCTACCTTTATGCTCCAAGATCAGGTTACTTGCATATAATGCCAGGCATGGACTTAAAGCTAATCTATCATTTTACTCTTAAAGTTGGCTCTCTGACATTTTTTGTTGGCATTAGAATAACATTTAGTGTTTTATTATAGAAAATCCTTCAAGCCAGCTAAGCTATCTTAGTGAACATCATTAAGGTGGGAATGTAAAGGTGTGCACTGGATAAGTCATAAAAATTTACTTGTTTACTAGATAATTGTAAGTCAGTTCTACACCAGGAGAAATGTTTGAATATACATTAAGAATATATCCCTGGCCAATGTGGCTCAGTTGGTTAGTGTTGCCCTGTGCACCAAAACATGGTGGGTTCGATATTCGGTCAGGGCACATACCCAGGTTGCAGCCCAATCCCCAGTTGGGTGCATATGAGTGGTAGCTGATTGATGTTTCTCTCTCACATTGATGTTTCTCTCTCAAACCAAAATTTTAAAAATACAGGGTTAAGCAAAAGTAGGTTTACAGTTGTGAGTATGCGGAAACAGAGTGTGTTCTTGTATTCTCTATTAGCAAATTGTTTTCTACATGAACAACTGTAAATCTACTTTTGCCCCACCCTGATGTTCATTTCTCAGCCATGATAAGGTTCTTAATGGACTATGGAGATATAGCCTTCTACATTTTAGAATTAAATATTTTAAAAATTAGAAACACTTTATACTGGTTTCTCAATCTCAATGGGATGCTCAAAAGTTTTGTGTATGTGGTTTACTCTCTTAATGAAGAGGCTTCTATTCGCTAAACAATATGAGATGTTCACTGAATAATGTGAGACAGTTCATGTTTAGCATAATATATTTCCATATGAATGTAATCATTTGTACATTGCTTTTATTTATCCTATAACCTAATAAGCTTTTAATATTATGTTTCATATCTCTTGATAGGTGGTTTGTGAAGAGGGTGACAAGTTAACCTACTCAAAATATGGGCGATTTTGTCATGAGGTCAAAATTAACTATTCTCCATATGTGAATTATTTCACTAGAGTGTATTGGAACAGGTCCTACTTTGTATATAAAATCAACACTGTGATATCCTTTCAGTCTTGAAAATAGTAGAGACTTATTCCATCTGAAGTAAAATGTTGATTTTCTTCTACCAATGGGGGTCTTTTTGGAAATCAGAATCTGGACATTTGAAGTGTTGCTGCTGCTCTTCCTCTCCTGCCGTTAACTGGACCCAGAGTTCTATGGGGAACAGAAGATTAAGCATCACTGGCCTTTGGTAAATGTTATAGCTTACCACTCTGCAGTATTCCAGCCAGGGATTCTTCTTACTGTTACATGGTCTTTCAAGATTTCACCTTCCAAACTATTATAAAAATTTCCTCAGAAATCTTTATTTTATCATAACATTGATCTTGAATTTGAATATATTCAAGGTCTGAGTATATTTCTCAAACATAACGTTTAATATATACTTAATATGATATAATTATAGAATAGAAGAAGAATTATTCTTACATTCAATGCAGTTTCTAAAGGTATTTTATGCTTTATAATAGGACTGACATATTACAATAAATAGCTAACGTAAATGTTAGCTGAAAATATGTGGCATTTAAATTAAAGTGGAAATGGCATAAAGGAAAGTGATTTTTAAGGATATATATAAAGGTATATCCAGATTTTCCATGATACTGTTCTCATCTGCTGCTTATATAAGTGAGCACTTTCTTAGTAATTTACATAGTGCATGATATTGCATTTTATTACTTTATGACTTTTAAGTGGTTAGCTTTTGTCACTTATGCTCATAAACTTGATATGAATTTAATCATCAAAAATAGTAACTCTCTGTACCTACATATTTTTTAAAACAGACATTTATAATAATGTTGATCAGGTTTTTAAAAAATACAGATATGGGATTTATAACCTATTCACATGTTTTATACTAAAAAATATTAGGTAAAAAATTGTTATCACAATAAAAATATGTACACTAAAACGAGCTACAGTTTCTGGAGATATGTGCAGATACTGTTAAATATACCTCTGTTTACAGATAGGCGTATTATAAAACAAAAGTGCTATTATTTGTGAAACTGTGAGGCAGTCTTCAACATTAAGAACCAAATGACAATTATAAAATTCACAGCACTTAGTTCCTCTAAGTTAAATATTTTCATATTTTAATCACTTATTAAAAGAAAATCTAAAATGACTTACTTGGCTAGGATGGGGGAATGCATGTTTATTTTTATCTTGTATATCTGTTTAGTGACCAGGTTTTCAAAGTGCTGTAAAAATCAGTTTCACTACTCTACATTAAAAGGGAGCATCTTTCCATTATCTTTATTTTCTGTAATATATTTTAAAAGTACACAGGCACAGTCATTCTTAGACTAGCTCTAGGATGCTTTGCTCTTTTGGGGCTTAAGGATTGTTTGATGGCTGTGCCATATCTGGTGCATTAATTTTATTAGTTCTCAAGCTTTTATGTAATTTTTAACAATTCTATTAAGATAGCTGTAGGCAGGGTATTTCAGGTTCTCTGTACATCTTAATAATGAGTCACTAATATTTAGCTTCAAGCCTTATAAAAATATTTATTTCCATAGTTAACCTAAGTACGTAGAACATGTAAAACATTGTGATTTAAAAGTCAGCTTGCATATTTTGAAAGGGAAATAGAACAGCCTATTTTCTATGCAGCATGAAATATTTAACTGAATTTTTATTGATTTACATTATAATCAAATATGCAGAATTAGTTTGTTGTGTGTTTTTTGTTTTATTTTTGTTTGTGGTATATTAGTAAGTTGCTTTTGCTTCTGTCAACTTATTTCTTAAATAAAACAGATTTGGAGAAACTTTTAATTGAATTTTTGAAATAATGAATTTTTCATTCAGCATCAGTTAAAAAGGAAAAGTGATCTTCAATATAGAAATAATAATACTTGCCCTAACCGGTTTGGCTCAGTGGATAGAGCGTCGGCCTGTGGACTGAAAGGTCCGAGGTTCGATTCCGGTCAAGGGCATGTACCTTGGTTGCGGGCACATCCCCAGTGGGAGATGTGCAGGAGGCAGCTGATCGATGTTTCTAACGAAATAATGAATTTTTCATTCAGCATCAGTTAAAAAGGAAAAGTGATCTTCAAAAAAGAAATAATAATACTGGATATGAGAAGTAAGCTTATTTGTTTCTATTTTAACTGTAGTTAAAACAATAGTACTGGAAAACTGAGTGCATTTAATTAATTTCCTTACATATTTGTAGAGTAACAAATGATTAAGCATTCTGTAAGTAATCCTGTTTGGGTAACTTACAGTTGTTAGGTTTGACAATAAAGATCTATTATGTGCCCTCGCTGGTCAAGGGCACATACCTGGGTTGCAGGCTCCTCCCTGGCCCTGGCCCTGGTCGGGCATGTGCAGCAGGCAACCAATCAATGTGTTTCTGTCACATTGACATTTCTGTCTGTCTTTCCCTTTCTCTTCCACTCTCTCTAAAAATCTATGGAAAAATATCCTCAGGTGAGGATTAAAAAAAAAATCTATTATGTAAGGAGCAAATTTGTTGTATTTGTGTGGAAGGAATTTCTTCAAGAAATATAAAACATACTTTGCCCTTAAAAACATTGAAATAAGTGCCTTAACGTCTTTATTTCAAAGTTTACTTCATATTTTTGAAAAAATATTATCCTTTTTTTTTCCATAAGAAAAATTTGGTAACTTTTTCCTTATTATTAAGCACAACCTCACTATTCTACTTTCACTAATAAGCAAATTTTTGTTAAGGGCAGAGATGAGATTTCTAGCTTGCTAAATTCATTTATTTAGCTCCCAAATGCAAAACAATCCAACAAATAAAACTTACTTGATAAGGTCTGTGACATTGACTCTCTGCTGGTTTCTGTTTATTCTGCCTTTGGCATCTGTATCTTGGTGCTTTTTGTTAGACTGGTGGGTTTTACAACCTCAGGAGTATGCATTGCACTTTGGAACTTTTTTCTTTATTACTTGTGTGTAGACAGCATGTTTTTCAGGATATGAACCCACATTGCCAGTGCCTCTATGTTGGGGCACTCTTCCACACAGTCCGGATTGATTCAAGAAAAAGCAGAAATGGAGGTCAAAGTGTGTTACAAGTTAGGGCTGAAAAATATGCTTTAAAAATTATGAATTTCTTGAAGGACACAGTGAATCTGATTAAACTGTTTTGTTTTTGAAAAATTGTTACTTGGCCCGTCTATTTTGAACTGTTAAAACATTTTGATGCCTTTTGTGGGTAAAACTAGTGCCTCTCTTTATAAAATTGGTGGGGTTTCTAAAAGTTGTATGTCAGTTGATTTTTTTTTTTTGGTACGTTTATTTTAAGTGCATAAATATTTAGAGGGCATATGTTATGAATTATTCTGCATATTTAAGAACCTTCTGGAAAGCAAATAACTACTTCCTGATTTGCATCAATATATTCTCTCTGTATTGGTCCAGTTTTTAAAATAGTTTTTGCTATTTGCTAATAGTTTTAGATCCCAATATGTATTAAAAGTACAGCTCTAAAAAAGTTGCAAGTGAAATTGACAATTTCTTATTGAAACAATGGCTTAAATTTTTTAATGTGAAGAGTTAACAGTTTAAATAAAATTAGAGGACAAAATTGCAAAGGAATATATTTGATTCAACTATGTTTCATCCATTAAGGTTTCTAAACATTAAACTTGTTTTTCATAATAAAAAAGATTTGCTGCATTTAATATAAAGGCATCTTGGAACCAAATCTGTTTATAAGTTCCTTAGAATTTGCAATATTTTAATCTCGGTATATATAATCCTATGTGCAGTTCTATAGGAGATACACTGAACATCTGACCGTTGTAATTAGTGGAATAATAGTATCAGAAAGAAACATGCATTCCAGACATGGCTTGAAATATTTCCTAAAGAATCCTTTCATATTTTATGTTAATAGCTTTGTACAGCTGTTGAACAAAGATGAATACAACTGGTTTTATGTATGTTGACTTATGAATTATATCTATTACATTGAATATTTAGATTAAATGTGCTCATCCTGTAACTAAGGTTATGTCTTTGCAAAAGAATAAAAATTAATTTCAGTAAGTATAAATCCTTTAAAAGAGTTGGGGCGTCAACTAGTTTACTTCACATTTTTATAATGTGTCTCTATTATCATGAATGAAATTATTTCATGCTTAATTACACTCCCTTGTGTTTCCATAATAAAATTCTTGGAAAATGTTTGTTATTTTTTATTTATACATAAACCTTGAGTTCTCACAACTAGTGTTTTTCTAATACATAGTAGTATTTCTTATATTGAACATAGCTGGTGCTTTCACATCATACCAATCTTTCTTAGAAAATGGATCAACCACTTTCTTGGCTCCCTTTTGGCCATCTTTCTTAAGGCACTTGTTCTTGTTGACCACCATGGCCTGGGAATGGAACCGGCAACCTTTTTTTTTTTTAAATATATTTTATTGATTTTTTACAGAGAGGAAGGGAGAGGGATAGAGAATTAGAAACATCGATGAGAGAGAAACATCGATCAGCTGCCTCCTGCACACCTACTGGGGATGTGCCCGAAAACCGGCAACCTTTCAGTGCACAGGACGCCGCCCAACCAACACTGGCCAGGGCTGTACTGATTTCTTAAACCTTAATGACATACATGATTATATGTATTTTGAACATATTTACTTTGTAAATGGGGTTAACAATACCCATAGCGGGGACATCAAGAGGCTTACATAGGAGCTAAATATTGAGAGCTAGACCCGAGAAGTGACAAAGTCTGCATCTCGCTGCAGGCTGTCATCCCTGGAGGAAGAGGAAGGGGACCAGGGCGCTGGGGGCCAAGTCCTTCGGGACGACCCAGGTGGGAGGAAACCTCAGAAACGGAAATTGAAAGCACCCGAGACAAACTGCCTGGCTCACTATTTTTTTTTTAATTTAATAAAGTTTAATTTTTCAAAACGTGCAGCTGGTGGGACCTGTTCATGCATCTTCGCCAACACCTGGGGCATCGAGGCCTTTGGTGTTCCTGGTGTCAATTACCTGCGCTCTGTGCTTTGATACTAGTTGAGTAAGCCCTTCACCAAGGAGCTGAGGGCTGCCCTGGCCAGGAACCGAGGATCTTCAGTCTCAGAGGCAACAGCTGCGCACGCGTTGCTTTGTCAAACAGGACTAGGCTGCTGAGCTCGTCCTGCACTTGGCCTCGGGACCACCCCGAGCTGTTCTGGGTCTTTGTCTTTCTCGGCCGACTTCCCAGCATCTTCCTCCTGCTTGTCCTTGGGCAGCACCGCGAAACTCGCGGAGCAGCTGCTACCCCTGCTCCCTCGCTGAGACGCGCTCACCGTCTTCCACGAAGACGTCTAGGCTCGTCACAACCCTAATCAGGGTGTTTCTTTCACTCGCTGAGAAACTCCCAGAAAAACGCGAAAAGCCCGCTGGGACCCAGCTTCCCCCAATCATCTCCCACGGTAACCCGCGGGGGGCGTGGTCTGTGGGTCGGTCCCGCCTTCTTCCTCTCCAACCCCA